CCGATTATATATATATATATATATATATATATATATATAGTAGGACCTCTATATAACGAAGTCGCTAAATCCCGGAAAAAAGTTCGTTATATGGAAAATGCATTTTATGGAGTTTCATCCTTTAATATAATTAATATAAACCACGTAAAATAAATTTTAAATACATAAACACTATATATTAAAAAAAGGAATTATTCACACCTTTTTGTAAATTAATATCTATTTATTTTATATATATTAGCCAACAAAAAAAGAAAGAAAGAAAAACTGCAAGGAAAACAAGAAAAATAATGCAGAGGAATGTATAATGCATTTTCAACATTAAGAAAATAATTTTATATTAAAATTAATGTATTTTAAGGGCAATTTCTCTCTAATCTAAATCATACAAGTTATTTTAAATATACATTATTTTATAATTAGAAATTCTAAACATTCATTACCACATGCATCTTTAAATTTAATTATTCATAAAATCTGTTGATTTTGTTTGAGTTTTTTGTTTGAAAAAAGGCTTTGTTTCATAACATATATATATGCCTCACATCTCTTTGCAATGAACCCTAACTCCCCTTATGATCCCTATAAAATGTGTTAAAAGAGATACTTGAAATGTCCAGAAATACCTAAAACATAGTGAGAAAAAAAATTGAATCTGAAGAAAAAACTTCGTTATATAAAAAATGCACTTCGCTATTGGGAGGTTATTTTATGAAGAAAATCGTGAAATGTTCTTGATTCCAGGAAAAGGTTCGCTATAAAGAAAAATTAGCAATATAGAAGCTCCTTATATAGAGACTCGACTGTTTATGTATATATATGCAGTATAAGATGTAAAAATACATACAGGATAAAATGAATATATTCGTAAGTTATAATTTTAACAAACAAAATGTCTTCAAAATATTTAATGGAATTTAAAAGATGGGAAAAAAACAGGATAGTATTAGAGTTTAAATATGAATATTTGATTAAGAGAGGTAAAAACCATGCTACTGTTTTACATCACACAAGATTGCAGCGTCAATGCTTGGTGATGCTGACGAAAAAAAGTGGTTCCACTTCAGTTCTTCGTTTCAATGCCTATTGACAGTCAGGTTCCTCATCACGTCACAAGCAACGTCATTTGTAGGGTAAAAGGACTATTCCAGAAAAAGTATATATATACAATATACATATTTATGCGTATTGATACGTATATATATAAAAAAAATGTACAATGTACACATTTTCTTTTAAAAAAAATCTATGACCAATGCTTAGAAAATGCAATCAATTATATTTATAATAAATGGAAAATTCCGGTATCTGGTTTTGCACAATATTCTTAGGCCCTTCTTCTTCTAACATAAATTATGACACAATACAACATAATTGTTGTTGTGTGTTTTTATCCTGGGATACGCGCATAAAATACGCGAGTGGAAGAACAGAAACATACTCTACAAATAGAAGAATATAGACATTTATAACACATGATGATCTTAGCATAGAATAGAAGGGGTGCATTGCTTTCTCTTCGAGACGGGAATCCATTACAGGTGGAAGTCCGACTTCTTTCCCCGAAGAAGATACAACCATGTCTTCGTCGGGATTTGAACCCGAAGCCAATCGGTTACAAGCCGAGGTTCATATCCACCATACTGGCTGGGCGGCTACAACACAATTAAAACAGTTAATTAAAGAATTACAGTTATAATTAAATGCGCACGTGTGCGTGTGTAAAAATTAGTAAGATGATAATTAATTCCTAAAAATAAGTAACTTATTAATTTCAAAAAGATTTACTGTCTCCAGCAATATATTGGTAAAATGTATGAAAAAAGTAAAAAAGTAATAATAAAAAGAGCTAATACAACTCTGTTACTTACTCATCATGATTTTAAATCATTATTTAATGTAATAAAACATTGGTACTTTGCAGCTATAGGGAGGAAGGAACTAATCATGGTAACTAACGCATGGATGAGTGAATGAATACTAACGTTGCACTGTTCAGCTACTCGAGGTCTTTTGGTGACTGACAACTTAATTTTGAACTATGGTCAAGTGACGTGGATGACACCTGAGCTGGCGACTACCACACCAACGGAAGGACGTTGCAGGTCTGGACAGATTTAACATGCATCGCTGCCCTACACGTCGGGTCTTTAGTGGTACTGGGCTGAACTCATGACATACCTGCCATGATCCGATACTTTGACCACTGGGCTACCGCAGCCCCTACTAACGCGAGGAAAACATACCAAAATTTAGCTTATACTAGTTGTCTATAAACACTGGCATTGATTTCAATCTGCTAAACAGTGGTTAGTTTGAATTTAGCGTCACTTTCTTTCATTATACTTTCAATTATTGGTTATATAGGAATCTTGAAGCAAAACTCATGGCTTCCCGTAAGAAGCTCACCGAATTTTGGCTTATACAATTGCTCACATATATTTTAAGAAGATAAATTTGATAAAACTCTTCTATAAATTATATATAAATTAAATTTTTAACGTTTTATTTGTGTTTGCACACATTAGAATTATTTTTATTTCTATAATTAAAAAATGTGTTTATAGAATTGAGAAAAACATATTTTAATTAGAATTTATGAAAAATTTAAATCTGGGTGAAGAAATGTAAATATGCAATAATTTCATAGAAAGGTTTTGGGAGCCGAATCATAATTAAAAGATAAACCAGTATTATATATAAAAAAATTAAATCAATTCCTACCCAAGTCAACAAAGAAACATTCTGTATTTTAGTTACTTTTTATTAAATATTTACAAATAATATAAATATGTATATACAAGGACAGAATCACAATATTAAGAGGCAAAATAGAAAGCGATTTTTCTTGCAATTTTTCATTCTCCTTTCTATGTAGGGTGTTGGACTATTTTGTTTGTTTGTTACTATTTATTCATTTATTAAATTGAATTATTCTAATGAAATAGTATAGTAAAAAAGAAATCACTTTCATAGAAATTAGGTCATCCCTGGTGGGATTCGAACCTAATTAGAAGTTCGATTAGAAGTGCAACGTGCTATATATTCCGCTACAGGGACACAACAAGTGACTTTCCTTCCTCTATATGCTGTTGGACTATTATTTTTGTTTGTAACAATTTATTCATTTTTTAATTTAATGAATGAATTAAAATATTTGAAAAAAAACAAACTGTATATTAACATCAAGTGTCATCCACTAAAAGTTTTAAGAAATGTGTTTGACTTTGAATGGATGAGCAGAAAGTATTTTATTAATGACTGAAAATCTAAACACGATATATATATATATATATATATATATATATATATATAATATGAGGAGGGAGTGAGAGAGAGAGAACTATCAGTAGGAATCGTATAATAGTAATGGGTTAGGAAGGCTTTGAATAGATGTATTTGCAGGATACTTTAAGACTTGGTACGTTTTATTAAAATATATTGCTTTTACTAATGTTTATCAAAGTAAATAGAGAATTAGAAAATATCCACCTTAGTATTTATGATAACCTTCAAATATTTTCTTTGTGTCCATTGTTCAGTAATCAGTAAAACGCAAAGTATTTAAATGGAGAAATCGTGCATCTGATGAATGAAGAAATCTCTGAAGTTTCAATCAAACTGCAATGTCAAATTATATAAACTGTATTTGATAAATGAAACCAAATAACTATCTCTCCTCAGGCAACCTAACGGATTCTGATCAAACAGGCTCACTGGACCATAAATTACACAGATCTAATCGAGTGAATAGGTTTCGAAGTCAAAGACATTTCGATTTGTCACTCAAACCCCACAATCTTCTGGAGTGGACGGAATTCTTAAACTAAGATTACAGTCCATTTCATTGCAAATAGTTACGAAAGTGAGACAAATTTTGACACGAAGGCTATCTGGTTATCCGAATAACAAAGGAGATATTGAATAGATCCGTTAATGAAAAGATAAAATTTTGATTCATAATATATAATTATTAATTTAAAATTTAATTATTTAAATAAAATACATGGGTTTTTTTTAAAAAAGTTTGTTTTTTTCTTCTAAAGGAAATGTATAATGCTTTCCACATACATCTCAATAAAAATAAATAAAATTGCTTGGTCTGCTTTTTTGTCGCAAAAAAAGTCAATGTATCTGTTATTCTGGATATTCAAAACATTTCGCTGATGTGTTTGATATCCATTTCAGATAAAATTTTCTAAAAATAAATAATGCTTCAAAAATTTTACTGTATTTTGAATAACTTTAAACATAAAAATCTGATTCAGCATAAAATCTTACAAGTTTTTGAAAAACAAATACACACTCTTATCTTTATCTTTAAGTATTTGAATTCAATATCCTTTAATCTTATTTGCAACCGATATTAACAGGGTGTATCCAAACTCTGCGGCAAAACTTTAAGTGGTTATAGTAGATATCAAGACAAACAATAGTAATTAGAAAACTTAGGATATATATATATATATCACACACACACACACACACACACACACAAACGTCTTCCGAAGGAGATAGGTGCCATTAGGGTCAGAAATTTCAAATAATTATAAAAAACAGAAAAATAGGTCGATTCATTAGGGGCTTTCGCTAAAATTATTCTTTTTGTCAGTATTTTCTTGAAAAATAAATTATAAAGATAAAGCTCTCAAAAAATATTGATAAAAGGCGCTTTAGACTTTGGAGTAACGAACAACTATTTTTTACCGCTATTTTTTGTATCACATTAATGCTTTAAAAAGCTTAGACTTAAACTTAAATTTTGAGCTCAAAATTTGATTCGTTGGGGGTGGTTAAGTAGCGCGAACGGAATTGTGTTCAGGTGAAATTTGAAACTCCCTTCCCTCTGAACAGAGTTCAGTTATTCCCGATATTGGTGTCGTAGACCAGGCAGCAACTACTACCAAATACACGTAAAGTAAACGAGATAGGGTTGACAAAATTAAAAAAAAAATACTCATAATAGACATGAGCAACTTCTCTGCTCAAAATAAAAAGAAACAATTTGATGTACGTACGTAGTGCGTATGAATGAAGGTTGAATGAATGATGACCCGTAGAAAATGGTACACGCATGATTTTCTTGCGGAGTCACAAAATCTGCTCGAAAAAGCGCCCACCATCAAAGATGCAGGCCTCACGCCACCGGCGAAGGGAATTTCGAACATTAGCAAATATCCTCGGCATCTCCCGGATTTCGCCTGCTACGACGGCAATTCTCGCAACCAGGGCTTCGTCGGAGTCGACGGGGCTTGCGTAAACAAGACTCTTCATATGGCCCCAGAGGAAGAAGTCTAGGCAGGAGAGGTCAGGCAAGCGTGCCGGCCAATTTGCCGGACCACCCCGTCCAATCCATCACCCTGGATATGCTGCATCCAATGCCCTTCGCACATCTGCGCTGAAATGTGCAGGCAATCCGTCATGTTGGAACAACATACGAGCTTTTATTGGCTAAAACAATTTGCAGTAGAATTTTACATCCTTACATACAATTAGCACCATACAGTTAAATCCTTGTGTACTACACTTCGCATGCAAATCGGGAGACTTGCATATCGGGTATTTTGCGGGGAGAAATTGCTCATGTCTGTTATGAATAACTTTTTTAATTAATTTTGTCATCCCTCTCTCGTTTATTTTACGTTTAGTGGGTAGTAGCTGCTGCCCATTCTACGACCGAGCATCGAAGATTGTGAATAAATGAACTGTGTCCAGAGAAGGAGGTGAGTTCAAATTTCACCTCCTGAACACAGTTGAGTTTGCGCTACTTAATCAACCCCAACGATTCAAATTTTGAGCTCAAAATTTAAGTCTAAGCTTTTGAAAGCATTTCATGTGATACAAAAAATAACAGTAACAAATAGTTGTTCGTTACTCCAAAGTCTAAAGCGCACTCTATAGACATTTTTGAGCTTTATCTTTAAAATTCCTTTTTCAAGAAAATACTGACAAAAAGAATAATTTTATCGAAAACCGCTATCGAATCGATCCATTTTTTCGTCTTTTATAATCATTTGAAATTTCGGACCCTAAACTTTAATGGCACCTATCTCCTTCGGAAGACATTTGGGACCCTAAGTTTCCTATTTACTTTTGTTTGTCTTGATGTGTACTATCACCCCTTAAAGTTTTGCCGGAGAGTTTAAATACACCCTGTATATATACCTATTTACAAATCTGAAAACACCATCTCTTCCCCTAAAATCAGTTGTAAATCAAGCCTCCCTTTTTTATATATAAATTTCCTATCTACAATGTTTTTCTGACAGTCATGTGGTTCGTGGATCACTATGAATTTATTGATGTAGCCCGTAGATCACTGTAAATGGATCATTTGGCTCTCGTGCCTCGTTGAACACCCCTACTTTAATGGTATGTTGAAGTAAAAATATTTTTCATAAGAATTAATGATTTTATAAAATGACGTATGAAGAAATGTTTGTAAGGGCTCAAATTCTAAAAAAAGTAGAAATAATATATACTTTTATGCGCACTTTGAAAACTAAACCAAACTATTCTATTCGTCAAGAAAGGAAGTTTTAAATCTAGAAAAATAATCTCTATGGTTCTGGAGATGAATCGCTCCTCGGTTGAATGGAACCAAACAAGGGTGTTGAGTGACGTTCGAAAACATAACAAAGAACGCATTCCACCCACCCCCGTAAAAATGGCG